CGCTACTTCTTTGCCTGTTAATTCTTGCTTTCTGTTTTTTGCTTCAGTGCAACCCTGTCTTAAAAATATTAGATCAACCTCCGCTATCGTTTTTCTTAAAAATCCCGCCAGGAAAAATGGCATTCTCCCGCTACAAACCGAGGGTGCATGTCTCTGTCAACCTATTAGCTGGAGTATGGCCGCCATCTTGCGCGACTCCGTCGTCGTCGTCGTTGTCGTCGTCGTCGCCGTCGTGCGTACGCGCCCACGAGCAATACCGCTAGCCATGATAACCATGAGAAAATCAATTCATGGGTTTCCTTTTCTTCCCTATATGGGTATGGGACACCGCTTGGCGGCCCTTCGGGCCGCCGGAGCTCCGCTATTAAAAGTTTATAATATGCTCTAAAATGTGTGAATTTAAGCGACCTTTGCTTGAATGCACGCTGATTTCCTATTTCTCCAACGAGTGTTCACATCAATTGGATTTCCGCATTCACTAGCCTGCGAAGCAGATGTATTTCCAGCTATCACTTGGCCTCCCACACTGACGCTCTTTGGGCTTCCTCCCCCACGAAGGCTGGTTATAACTAATGCATAAGCACAAAATAAAGCATTTAAATTTTGGCAATTAGAAAATTTTCGAAGAAAAGTTGCCCATTACTCATATATCAACATCTTTCTGTCTGTGTGTGTTGCCAGAGGCATATAAACCCGGTTGTGTTCGCTAATGCGCTAGTGAAAACGCTGTTTAAATCAGTAACGGGTCACAAAACTGCGGCTCGGTTCTTTTCTCTATAGAGCGTTCCCACTCACGTGACCAGCAGCCATGCAAATTTATTGGAACGAAAGAAAGTGTTTACATAAGAAAAGAGTTGAACCCTCACAGGATTAGTTTGGGACACTAACACGGCCGCCGTTTCATTTTTTTGGAACACCGCTGTGGCTGCCGTGACCTCATGCGAAAACGCTCTACATTGCTGGGGAACAAACTTCAAACGAAACAAAACAACCAACCAATTTAACCTTTTCGACCACCGCACAGTGATGCTATAATCTTTGAGACATGACTTACTTCAAGGTTTGTTGGGAACACCGTAAAGCAAACTGACCAACGCGTTCATTTTCAGTCAGGTTTACTTGTATGTGATTTTATTATATTTAACTTTTATTGTGTTTTCAGAGATGCTGTTCGCCACAGAGATACATATACTTTGATTCGGTATGAACTATCATGTCATTGACTCAGTTCAAACAGGGGCACCCAACGGATCGTTTTGATAAATTATCTGTTTGGAAGGCCTTTAATCCCCTCTGATTCTCGTAAGAGAATTGTCACGAACTTTCGTGATATGAGAAATTTAATGTCTGTTGTTTTCGGATTGTTAAAAATGACGTTTTGGGTACGGAAAAAGGTCAGCCATCATTTTCGGAAAGGCGATAAGACCTAAGGTTTTCGAGAAATGGACAAAAAAGCCCTTATAAATTCGAGAATACTCAAGTTTCCCTGGAATAACCGAACAGATAAAATTTGTATAGCCTAACCTAAAATTAACCTACAGAGCTTTAAAAGTACTCCAGATAGCCTAAAACAGCGTTTAAAAAGCATTCGAGAGAAAACGGTCGTTGGGTAACCCTGTTCAAAACTTCACGACACCCGTGCGGTTGAAATCACATTCTGCTTACTCGCTGATTTCTTCCATTCGACTGTCGTGTCCCCTTTTCCTCGGGGACAAACGATGAGTCCTTTTAAAATCACAGTTTTCACGTAATTTCATGGCGGTAGATAATTATATGATCGTGAAGCATTTTCAGTTCACGCCCATTCGCTTCCACGTAGCGTTTTCTGCAAGACCTGGAGTTGATTGACAGTCCTCAAATTGTCTCGTCACGTTGACGTCATTTCCTGTTTCAATTCTTCCGTTAACTTGGACGCAAGAGATTGCAGTGCTTTTCCCGCGGGTGATTCTGGGTAAGTTTGGAAAATGTTCGATCCTTGTTCGCAGCAAACGCAAAGGTTCTATGTAAAGAGACAAGGCGAGATCGTCAGTAAACACAATGAGAAATATTTAAATAGCTGCTAACTATGGGCTAAAAGACGAAGGACATAAATTAATAACATTGACGTTAGCCTAGCCCTCTTTCCCAGCTCATGCCGCGGGTTTGGTTGACTGACGCCAGGCTCCAACGCTTCTAACTCGGGTAGAAGTTGCTTAGCGGCGGGGAAGAGAAGGTAACAAATTAATGAGATACGGGTTATTTGGGGGAAAATTAATGGGAAATGGGATATCAGTAACGGGATGTGGTATACTCGAAATCCGCGCCCCCCCCCCCCCCCCCCCCCCCCCCCCCCCCCCCC